AGCCAGCCCATCCTCTCTGCCCAAACACCTAAAAATAATGAGAGGGGGTGTGTGAGAATATGTGCGTCAGTGCGCGTGCATGTGTATCATTACCTTTCTACGCTCATGTCCTCCCACTCGTCTTTAGCGGCACTGGAGCTTGGCCCTTGCCAGCTGATGGCTTGATTGGCGCTGACTCTTTGGTGGCTGCGCTGCCGTAGCAGACCTCTGTGCCTGGTTGTTTTGAATTTGACCTTGCTGCTAATGCTGTTAGCGATCCCACCTGCCCGCATCGGTCCTGCAGCACGATTTCTATAGAAGTCCTTAGCTGCTCTGAGAATCCCCAGCTCCTGTCTCAGCTTCAGCAACTGCTGATGAAGCTTTGTAGCCTCTTTCTGAGATGAGGCCAGCTGTACTTCTAGAGCCTTGACCTCACTACAGTGCTGCTCCTCCTGAGCCACGGCCTGTGCATGGGCTGCCTTTTCACGAGCAGCTTCTTGAGTTCTTTGATGATCCAAAGAGGCTTGGAGTTTGCGGCAGTTGTGGGCCAAGTCTTCGTTGACTTCGAGTAGCTGCTCTTTTTCATCTTTCAGCCTTTCTGTCTGCTCCTCCATGCTTATCATTCTTTGCTCCAGTTGATCAATCTGAAAAGAAAAAACACATACATGGGGCTTCTGTGCTACAAATAAATCAATTTTGGCTTATATATCTGTAGTTGTTTTATTTTTTTTTCCATTTCTAAAAACCTCCCAGAAATACTTATTCTTGGACTGCTAGTGACAAAATAACAACCTGCTCTATAGTATTAATATTAGTAAGATTCAATGAGAAAGACCATATCGTGATTTACTAGTTTTCCTCTCCACTGATATTTTCCCAAGTGCGTAATTACAGTTTGCTGTGTGGGTGGGGGGCGGAGAGGGGAGCAATACCGTCGTCCCCAGTCAAACACGGTTATGGACATCTGACTTGCACCCCGTTACCATGATCACCTTTAACTACGCTGCAACCATGAGCACTTAGTCTATTTGTTAGATCTTTGGTGGAGACTGTTTAAGAGAACAGTGGATGCCTGCTGGGTTTGTGCCTCCAGGCAATTTTTCCCTTTTATTTGGTTCTCTCTCTGCCTGCTGGTGAAGCCTGGTACCCTTCAAACAAAATTAGACGGCTATCCCCACTCCTGATGATTTACTGCCATGAAGGCTGAAGGGGTGGGGGAACATATAAGCTCATGCAAGCAGGGTTTTAAATGTGTGTGTGTGTGTGTGAGTGTGAGCGTAAAACATGCCTCCAAACCTATGAAATCTACGTTAAATCAACTAGTATTTTCTGGGATACACAAATTATATTTGGCAATTTATAGACTGTCTAGTTGATACTGTGCTTGGAAATTACTACATGACCCTTCTTCTCCAATGCATACGAACACCGTTAAACTATCCTTGAAAGAGCAAAATCAAAAATTTCTGAGAGCTGCCATGCTGAACTTATGGCTGTGTTGGATTTCCTTTATAGGCAGTGACAAAGAACACCCCGTGACGGCATAGTGCTGTACCTTTTTCAATAACTGCGCCATTCGACCTGAAAGAAGAGAAGGCTTTTTCGGAGTGCTGCTTTTGACCTGGTGCTCCTCAACCATTTTGTGAAGTAATTCTGCAAAGAAGAACAAAGCTTGCTATTGTGACACTTTGTGTCAAATTCAAGCTGCTCAATCAATAGAATAATTATAAAAAGGGTACATTTAAATCAATTAGCATTAGTAAGGTCTAATTTCCTTCCTGAGGTTCAGTGTCTTTTTTCCTTTTTGTCAATCAAATCTGAAAAATCCCTAACGCTGTTTTCATGTGGACTTGGAATTTTCACTGCAAAAAACACCTTTGGTTTCAAAAATCTTACACAGCCCTTTAACTTCAGATTAATAGAAAGGTGTTTTATTTAATAGTCCACCGGGAAATAGGAAAACAGGGCTCAGAAGTGCAGGCGGGTGTATACTATATGCAACCTCTCTCTGGGGACCTAAAACAAACGAAGAGAAGTGCTTGAATCCCTTGTGAATACACAGCCCCAGGCTGCACTGCTTTGTAGTCCACTGTGTTTCCCCAAAGGACTTCTAATCTCCACAGACAAACATGCAGCTTTATTCTGGGAAATTCAATAGTGGCCCTGGCAAACAAAGTGCTTAGGCATTTGATGCATGTGTATTCATGAACACATCTAACACATTCTAACAGACCTCTGTCACTGCTACCTACCCAGTATCTACCTGCTGAAGTACAAACAACTTCCCTGCCTACGTATATGCGAAGGGCAACACAAAACTTGAGGTTACTCTATTCCGTAACCCCCGTTCTCTGATAACATGAGTGAGGTGTCTCACTATGGGGAACGCTCTCTCAGCGTTGTCCTCAGAAGCCTCCATATCATTACTGGTGATCTGGTGAGACACCTCACTCATGTTATCAGAGAACGGGGGTTACGGAATAGAGTAACCTCAAGTTCTCTTTCAAACATTAGTTTCGGTGTCTCACTATGGGATATGCAGACTCCCGTATTGCCAGATAAGCCCATCTGAACGACTGACTGCCCACTTAGGAGGTCTCGTGGGGCCCCACAGTGTGGGCTAGAGTTGGTGCAGTGACATCCAACCTGTTAAACCTTGCAAAGGTCAAAGGTGAAGCCCAGCTCGCCACTGCACATATCTCTTCTATAGAGACGCCCCTAAAAAGGGCCCAAGAGGTTGCCATCCCTCTAGTCGGGGGGGAGAAGAAGCTGGAATAAGCCAATTGGATCGCCTCAACAATCCAGTGGGAAATGCGTTGTTTGCTAACGGGCTTGCCAAGATGTGGTTTAGCCCAGGAAACAAACAGCTGATCCGACCTTCTGAAAGCCTTCGTTCTCTCTCTATAGGTACATAAAGCCCTAATTGGACAGAGAGCATGTAGGCGCTCCTGTTCAGGGGACGAGAAAGGAGGAGGGCAAAAAGTTTCCAGCTCCAATGGGATACATTGGAGCTGGAGGATTTTTGGGCACAAAGGCCAGATTTGGCCTGAGTGTGACTCTAGAGTTATCCCGCGTGAATCGGGTGCACTCTTTGTGTACTGACAGCGCATGAATATCACTGACACGCTTCGCAGATGCGAGAGCCAGGAGCAATGCAGTCTTCAAAGACAGGATTTTTATTTCCACCTGGTTTAGTGGTTCAAATGGTGGCTGTGAAACTGCCCCCAGCACCAGGGATAAATCCCACGTGGGAACGAGAGGTTTAGACACTGGGTGGAGCCGTCGTGCCCCTTTCATGAAACGGCAGACTAGCGGGTGATGGCTCACCGGGCCATCCACAAAGCCCACATGGCAGGCTTAAATGGCTGCTAAATATACTTTAATTGTGGAAAAGGCCTTTCCTTTATCTAACAGTTCTTGGAGAAAGGAGTGACTTTCCACACCATTCCTCAAATACCCTCCACTTGTTCTCATACTATGATCTTGTGGAGAGGGCTCTAACACTCTGTATAGTGGCTATAACACCCCTGGGGAGTCCTGCTGTACTCAGATTCAACCTCTCACGGGCCAAGCCCACAGGGCGAGGAGCTCTGGGTGAGGGTGAAAAATCTCCCCCCTGGCTTGGGAGACTAGGTCTCGTCGGAGAGGGAGAGCCCAAGGTTCGCTCCACAAGACGGGCATAATCTCCGCGAACCAATGGGACCTCGTCCACCTTGGGGCGATCAATATCATTGTTAGCCCTCTCTCTCTCACTATGGTTCGAGTGGGAAAAATTAAGGCCAGTGGAGGGAACACATAAAGAAGAGCTTGTGGCCAGTTGTGAGCTACCCCTAGCGGAGCCTCCTGGTCCCTCTGGGAGAAATACAGTGGACACTGAGCGTTCTCCCTCGAGGCAAACAGATCGACCTGTGAGTGGCCAAAGTGGGTCCAGATTTGGGTCACCACATGTGGGTGCACGGTCCAGTCCCCGTACTGCGGGTTTCCCCTGGACATTAAGTCTGCTCCCAAGTTCAGAGCTCCTGGAATGTGAGTAGCTCTCAGTGACAACAGATTGATGCTGCTCCACATGATCAGTCTGCGAGCCAGCATGTGCAAAGGACGGCACCGTAACCCGCCCGCAAAGCGCAGGAATTTTCTGTGAGGCGGGTAAATAGGGATGTGAAAATACTGTATGCGTCTTTCAGGTCTATTGATGTAAACCAATCGCCTGGGCGCACTACATGCAGCAGAGTGGTGGTCGTCAACATCCTGAATTTGTATGACCTCAGATGCTGATTCAGAGCCCGTAGGTCCAGTATCGGACGCAGTCCCCCTCCCTTCTTGGGCCTACGGGAAAATACTTTGAGTAAAAGCCGCATTGGCTCTGCTCCTGGGGTATTTCTCGTACTGCTCCCTTTGATAGCAAGGTAGTTATTTCTTCTTGCAGGATCCTGGCTGATTCACCTTTTGCAAGAGAGAAAATCACTCTGTGAAATCTGGGAGGGGTGGTTGCGAATTGCAAACGATAGCCTCACCCTAATGTCCTCACAACCCATTCTGGCGTAGCGAGAGCTCGCCATCTCTCTATTCTTGCTGACAGCGGCCCCAAAGACAGGCACTCCACAGTAGACGGAGCTTTGGCTCCCTCTTGTGGCGAAAAATGGTCCTGCGGGCCAGACCCGACTGCGCATGCGCGGGCGGCCTGCGCTTGACCAGCGCTCATGGGGCCGGACACCACTGAGGGAATCGACCCCGGTGGTGTCTGGGTGCGTGGGGGCATTATGTTTTTCAACATACTCTCTGTGTTTTTCACACATTTTCCCCGTGCCCTTGGCAACATGCCTGGATGCAACGGGTAAATTTTTAATAAACAGTGTGTTTTTGTGTGACATGCTTGATTCAGCTGAACAGTGTCTCGTCGTCTCTTTGTTGAAATGCGCTCTGTGGGATCCAACTCGAGTCCCAGGCGCTGAAAGGTGGAGGCAGAACACACTTCTCTGAATGGACTTGGAGCCCGGGCTGGTCCGGCTCCGATCTCCCCGTGGGGGATGTTAGGCAGTCCACTTCTTCTTGCGGTCCGACTTCTTGGCTGGTGGTGGGGCACCCTGAGCGGCAGCAGGCGGGACATGTTTCCTGGGCCAGTGGGTCTTAGGGTTCTGCGATCCTAAGGGACCCTGGGCTGCAACCTGTGGGGCTGGGCGGCGAGGGATTCTAAACGTCGGCACGCCGGCTGGTGACCTGAGCGAACATTCGGCAACTGGGTGGAGGGGGGTCTTCCGAGGGAGACACAGCTGCAGGGTTTCTCCCTCGTTCTTTTTCTCCTCTAACCGTCTTTGCATGGTGGCAGCGGCGGTCCCGAAAAGGCCAGCGGGGTCGATGCTTTCATCCAGAATGTCACGTTTTTCTCCATCTGAAAGCCCCGACAAGTTCAGCCATCTGGCCCTCTCCTGTAGGACGATGATGCTGAGAGCTCTGCCCGCCGCTTGTACTGCTGCTCTAGTGAGGTGGAGACACTGGTCCGTAACAACGCCCAGCTCTTCCCACAGCTTGCTAGCATCCAGGTTCGCAGCAGTCTGGTCCTGGAGCTCCGCCGAGTAGGCTAGCAGGAGCGATGAGGTGTTCAATGCCCTCACGGTGGTGGCAACTGATTTACACGCCTTGTCAGCCAGGGAGGACTGCAGGCGTTTGGCCTTGGAGGGCAGGGACGGACCAGATGACATGGAAACCTCGTCCATGCATTTGGGGAAAAGCGGCAGTATCTGCTTAGTAGTGCACTTCACTTTGGGGAGCCTTTTACCCTCGTATTGTGAGGTGGAGGTCTCCGTTGTCACCGCGGGCCATGGGATCACCAGCTTTTCAGCTGCCCGTTTTGCAACGTCAAATAGCTCCATGCCGCGTGACTGTGTGCCGGGGTTATCACAATCGGCCCCTTGTGTCGCAGAAGAAGGGGCAAAGAAAACATTGTCATGCTCGTCCGAGACAAGATGTTCCGACGCTCCCTCAGAGGATTCGCTGAGTAGCTCATCATTAGCCTCGAGGGAATCAGACAACATAGCTTCGCAGCTGACCTCGGCATCATCCGCCAGCGGGAGGACGATATCCATCTCGTCGCCCCAGCTGGTGCCTGGTGTGGCTGACTCAGTGTGCTCCATCGGTGGGCCGATTGGAGACAGCATTGGGTCCTTCTTTGACAGGCTAGCCTGGCGGGCTAGCCTTCGGCGAAGACTTTTTAGGGTGAAGCAAGCGCAGTGTTCGCATGAACCCGGTGTGGAAATAGCCATTTGGGCATGTTGCAGCCCGAGGTACATCACACACGCGTCATGTGTATCTGAACCTGAGATTTTGCAACCGCAGGGGCAAATTCTGGTCAGTGGTTTGCAGTCTGCCATATTAAGGAAGCTTGGTGGAGCTAGCTTGGAATTGGCTGGATGGCTAACACTAATCTTTTTTTTTTTTCTCTCTCTCTCGGTCGGGTAGCTATGGTGAGCTAGTATGACCTAGCTAGTGTGGTGGCTAGCGCTTGTGCTACCTGGCTTGGTGACCGTGTGTAGCAAAAAACAGTTAGCTTGGTCAGCTAGCTGTTGCGCTAGGTGCGTGGTGGCAGCTAACACACTCTCCGACCTGGCTCTGTGGTGATGAGCAAGCGACTCGAAACGCGAACCGTGCTAGCGCCCGGTGACCAAGGTGTTAGCTTTCTCGCATGGACAGTTAAGCTAGGACTCACGTTCACAGTCAGGAGAGATGAGGTTTCTAAGAAGCGAGAAGAGGAAATTGAATGATGGGTGATGCTGCGTCACACCCTTTTATAGGGAGGAGGGTGGCCCCTCCCTGACGCAAGCGTCACGACTGCCAGCCAATGCTGGCTGGAGTAATGATATAGAGGCTTCTGAGGACAACGCTGAGAGAGTGTTCCCCATAGTGAGACACCGAAACGAATGTTTGAAAGAGAACAATACAAAACATTCTGCTTTTCTTTCTTTCCTGTTTAAACATTCCTGACGGGATGACCAAAATAATTTGTACAATGAGGCTGGAAACATTAAATATTCAGGACCTTGACTTTTTAGGTCACTTGATCTTTTGGAGAACGAGTTGAGGGGAAAAAAGCGGCCACAGAAGCAGAGAGGAAAAAGAGAGAGGGTCATGTTGTAAAGAGCTGCTGCTCCCTTGCTTTGCATTGATGCTTTGCCCAGGGAAGTTTGTTACTTTGAATTAGCCTGCCCTTTTGTCTTCCCTACATGTCACATTCAATCAGACAGAGCACCAAATAGGACAGGAGGGCTGCTGTGTTCGCTGGGTACATAACCAGGTTGGGAGACAATTATCCAGCTCCAGCACTGGTGGCATGGGAGTTGGCACCTCAGCACTACCTTGATAAGAAGACGTGGTGGCTCCCTAGTCACCCACTGTTGAAGGAGGTTCTGGCACTGCAGCATACATTAACATCCCTCCCGTGTCTCCTCATAGGAAGCAGCACAAAGACTCCTTTCATCTGCTGTCTTTCGTTAGTGTGATCCTGGTGTGAGCGACTGAACCTTGCATCTTTTTGATCGGGTCAAAGCGGTTCCTCAGGAGTAAATCTTATGGCCATCCATAATTTCCTCTTAAGAGTCATGACTTTATGTCCAACTGACTCCAAATATACTCAGTTCAGTCTAGATTTAATATGAAATATTCTGAATGTTGCCACAATGGTGTAACCTTATTTGAACTGCAAAACAGCAGACATGTTCATAATCTGTATTAAAACTATACCAAATCAGAAAACACAGATGCCTATCTATTGCTGAGACCACACTCCTTCAAAGTTAAGGGATTCTTCCCTGACAAAATGTAAAGCCAAGCATGTCCTTTCAACAGAGGCTGCTTTCTCATATTCCTAACTAGACTGCCAACAGAAGTCGAGCCACTATTTTAATTAGTGCAATCCTTTAAATCACATGCTTGCATCTTCACCAGACACCATCATTGGCTGTGAAGAAAATTAAAGTGATATAGAACAGATCTGTTATTGAACTAGTTAATTAAGGTCACTGGTTGCAGTGGTCAGCATCTGACAAAGCAGCAGATTGGATTAAAAGGGATGTAATTTTTAACACCAGGAATAATACATGCAGACAAGATGGACACCACACTTGATGTCCTAATCAATTTACCAGGAGTTGATCAAGTCTTAATTGAGTTGTCCTATGAATTCTCCTGGGAGTAGTCTTATTAAATCCGCGCAGTAATGCACATGGCCCTGACCAGACCAGTGCTTAATTAAAAAAAAAAGAAAAAAGAAGAAGAAGAAGTAGCATTGCAAACAACATGAGCTTAAAATTAAAAACAGAAGAACTGCGTAGAATTCAGTTCAGTTTCATTATTTTCAGACAAATTAAAACATGCATTCAATAATTAAAGACCAAAGAGAAAAACATTATTTTGTAATTTTTAAGGCACTCCCTGACAAAAAGAAGAACTAGTGTGAAGGAAAATGCTCACCTTGGTGTTTGTTTGCAAGACAGAGGTGGAGTTCCTTTACTGTGGCCCGGTCCATAGCAGCCTGGACTCGCAGCATGTCAAGCTCTTCTTCCAAGCCAGCTCTGCATTAAACACAACATCAAATTTCCTTCAAACAAAGTTTGCTAAGTCAAATCTATGTTTTTCGAAACACTGGTTAATCATTTTTCAGACGTGTGCTTCAGAGATAAAATGTTTTATTTCTTTTTGATAGATTTTGATGTACTGAGTCCAGATATGACGTATGAAATAGCTGATTGGCTACTGTTTGTGAGATATTTAATATTTTTTTAAATTAAAAAAAACAATCATAGCTTATGCTGACA